AGAAAGAATCTTGCTCTGTTGCCCAGGCTGGAGTGCAGTGGCACAATCTTGGCTCACTGCAACCTCTGCCTCCCAGGTTCAAAAGATTCCTGTGCACATCACGCCTGGCTAATTTTTTTTGCATTTTTAATAGAGACCGGGTTTCACCATATTGGCCAGGCTGGTCTCAAACTCGTTTCCCAAAGTGCAGGGATTACAGGTGTGAACCACTATGCCTGGCCAATGACTTCTTTCTTTTCTTTCTTTCTCTCACTCTCTTTCTTTCTTTCTTTTTTTTTGAGACAATCTCACTGCAACCTCCGCCTCCTGGGTTCAAGTGATTCTCCTGCCTCAGCTTCCTGAGGAGCTGGGATTACAGGCACTCATCACCATGCCTGGCTAATTTTTGTATTTTTAGTGGATATGGGGTTTCACTATGTTGACCAGGCTGGTCTCCAACTTCTGACCTCAGGTGATCTGCCTGACTTGGCCTCCCAAAGTGCTGGGATTACAGGTGTGAGCCACCGAGCCTGACCAATGACTTCTTACATTTCATTGGCCACCTACCTTACAATGGTGACTGGGAAATGTGACTTTTTAAAGCTGGGCATATTACCACCCAATTAAAATGAGCGTTTTGTCAATGAGAAAGAAGGAGAAAATGAGTATTTGATAGACAACTAGTTGTCTCTGACATGGATTATTTTTTGTATATTTCATTAAAGTATTCTAAACTCTTGTGGAAATGTATGGCAATATAGCTTAAGGACTGCCAGTGTTATTTTGTATTGAGTATACAATGAAATAATGAGATGTAGAGGTAGCACATATACCAGCAAGGACAACAACAGCTAACATCAGGCATCTATCATGTATTAAACTTTTGTTGGGCTTACATTTTATTGTATAAAAAAACACTGAAGTTCTTGATTTTATAAATGTAGGAATCAAAGCTCAGGAATATTAATTTTCCATTGTCACATAGTTAATAAACAGTGGAGTCAGGATTTCAGCCTAAGTCTACATGACTCTACTATACTTTTTCAAAAGAAAACTTGTTTTTGGAATATACTGTGAGGCTGGGCCCAGTGGCACACACCTGTAATCCCAGCACTTTGGGAGGCCAAGGTGGCTGGATCACGAGGTCAGGAGTTCAAGACCAGCCTGGCCAATACGGTGAAACCCCATCTCTATTAAAAATACAAAAACTAGCTGGGTGTAGTGGCATGCACCTGCAGTCCCAGCTACTTGGCAGGCTGAGGCAGGAGAATCGAATCACTTGAACCTAGGAGGTGGAGGTTGCAGTGAGCCGAGATTGTATCACTGCACTCCAGCCTGGGCAATTGAGGGAGACTCCATCTCAGAAAAAAAAAAAAATTAATAAAAAATAAAATAAAATCTATTGTGAGCAGAACATTGAATGTAAACCTAACTTTGGTTAGATTCCTAACCCCCATTTTTATGCCTTGTTTTATTAGCTTTAAGGAGGTGGGAAATAGAACCTTTCTGTACATGGCTAATTAAGTACTATTCAGAATAGGAAAATTCTAAGGTAAATAAAGTAATAGCTTAAAAAATTTATAATATTCGTTGTAGAAAATTCAGAAAGCATAGAAAAATGTGAAAAAGTATTAAAATTGTCCAAATTTCTTCCACCAGAGGTGGGTTTAACTTTTTGGCATATTTTCTTCCACCCTTACTCTGTGATGTTTCATAGCTGATGACATTCGTAAATAGTTTTGTGTTTTCTTTTATTCCCTTAATATATTGTAAGCATTTCTTCATGTCATTAAACTCTCTTTATTAACATACCTTTCAATAGCTATGCAATATGGAACTTATAACCTTAACCTAAATGATCAAAAGATCCTTAAGAAAAAAGTAATCTTTCAGTATCTGAGCTTAACTTTTCAAAGGGTATTTAAAGCCTTTAAAAGACTTTAGAGAGAAAACTACTCTCAAAAAGTAGAATTTTAAGCTCGAGGTGTTGGGAAAGGAGTAGAGTTAGGGGGTCATTGAGGCTGGTGGCTCCTCCAAATCACGTAAAGAAAGCATGTCACCTCCCACACCACAGATGGCGGAGTCCCAATGGACATTGTTAATTTTACAACAGAAATTACATTAAGTTTTAAGAGTGTAAAACTTTTGGCCGGGTGTGGTGGCTCACGCCTATACCCAGCACTTTGGGAGGCCAAGGCAGGCAGATCACCGAGGTCAGGAGTTTGAGACAAGCCTGGCCAACATGGTAAAACCCCGTCTCTAATAAAAATACAAAAATTAGCTGGGCATGGTGGTGGGAGCCTGTAATCACAGCTACTCAGGAGGCTAAGGAAGGGAGAATTGCTTGAACCCAGCAGGTGGAGGTTGCAGTAAGCCTAGATTATGCCACTGCACTCCAGCCTGGGCGACAGAGTGAGACACCATCTCAAAAAACCAAAACAAAGAGCGTAAAACATTTTTCACATGTCCATTTTAACACATCAGAATGAAATATTGCACTGAAAATGGTAAAATCATGAAGAAATATTCTAACAGATGTCTGGGTCTACTGTTTTTTGTGTGTTGTAGGTGAAGTTGGTGATTGGAAAAATGTGTTGAGTCAAACTCAGAGCCAGGAAATGGATGAAAAATTCAAAGAGTGCTTAGCAGGCACTTCCCTAGGAGCAAAGTTGAAGTATGAATCATATTGCCAGGGTTGATTCCAGTCAATTCAGCAGGACTCAATTGTTTTTCCTTAATAATAATTAAGTTTAAATAATTGAATGAAAATTCAGTCAAATAATCAAATAATGTTAATTAAATAATATTGAAATCTAAACAATACAAATTTAATAATAATGATAACATCTGAAATTTTTAAACACAAATGTAAGTTTGTTCACTTTTTCAGGGAAGGGCATTTTAGCTGTCCCAAAGGGACACTGTGATTAATGCATCACACTGGAGTTTTAACTTATTTCATGCTCTAGGTTCACATAAGAGGGTAAGCAGATACTACCAGAGACACACCTAGAGCTGTGTTTGCCCATAGATGACAGAGGCCTGCAAATGATGCACAATTTTCTATACTTTCCTCATAATATAACTCCTTTCTTACTATGGATAAAAGCACTTGAGGTGGCTATCTCAGACTTACTGTTGGGAGAGAGTTAATACCAACTCTGCAATAAATTCCATTCTAATTTGGTTCAAGAAAAAATGCATTGCTCGTCTACTCCATGAATGCCATTGCAGTAGGCCTTAGGAAGGCTTCCTCTCAAGGGACTTTATGTTTCTACTTAATATGATCTTTCATTCAATTCAAAGCTAAAGGTAAGAGATTTTGTTATTCTACCATAAAGACTTTTTTTTTTTTTTTTTGAGACAAAGTCTCACTCTGTCACCCAGGCTGGAGTGCAATGGGATGATCTCGGCTCACTGCAACCTCCACCTCCCAGGTACAAGCAATTCTCCTGCCTCAGCCACCCGAGTAGCTGGGATTACAGGTGCACAGCACCACGCCCAGCTAGTTTTTGTATTTTTAGTAGAGGCAGGGTTTCCCCCTGTTGGCCACACTGGTTTCCAACTCCTGACCTCAGGTGATCCACTTGCCTAGGCCTCCCAAAGTGCTGGGATTACAGGTGTGAGCAACCACAACTTGCCCATAAAAACTTTTTCTACCACAGAGCCTCAAGTAGTCATGTGGAATTTACAAGAGAAGACAGAAAATATTCTAGAAAGGAAGAATTCTGGCCGGGCAAGGTGGCTCAAACCTGTATCCCAACACTTTGGGAGGCTGAGGAGGGCTGATCACTTGAGGTCAGGAGTTCCAGACCACCCTGGCCAACATGACAAAATCCCATCTCTACTAAAAATACAAAAGTTAGCTGGGCTTGGTGGCATGCACCTGTAATCCCAGCTACTGGGGAGGCTGAGGTTGCAGTGAGCTGAGATCATGTCACTGCACTCCAGCTTGGGCAACAGAGTGAGACTTTGTCAAAAAAAAAAAAAAGAAAAGAAAGGAAGGAAGGAGGGAGGGAAGGAGGGAAGGATGGAGGGAAGGAAAAAGGAAGGAAGAAAGGAGGAAAGGAAGAAGGAAGGAAGGGAGGGAGGGAGGGAGGGAGGAACGGAAGAAATACTAAATAAAAGGCTAATATCTAGAGTAAGTAAAGAACCACTAAGATCAATAGATAAAATAAAATATAGCCTAATAGGAAAAAAACTGTAGCCAGGTACTGTGGCTCATGCCTGTAATCTCAGTGCTTTGTGGGGCTGAAAAGGGAGAACTGCTCAAAGCCAGCTGGAGAAACATAGCAAGACCCCATCTCTACCAAAAAAAAAAAAAAATTAGCCAGGCATGGTGGGGTGTGCCTATAGTACCAGCTACTCAGGAGACTGAGGCAGGAGGATTGCATGTGCCCAGGAGGTTGAGGCTGCATTAAGCCATGATTGTGTCACTGCACTCCAGTCTGGACAACAAAGTGAGACCTTGTGTCTTAAAAAAAAGTGTAAAAGATATAGACAGGTAATTAACAGAAGAGGAAATCCAAATGGCAAATAAATACAGGTATTGATCGACTTACGACCTATGCGACGTACGACCATTCAACTTTACGACCACAATAATTAGCCACGACTGCTCCACGTCTGGCAGCGCAAACGTTGCCCAGCTGGGTGTACGACAGGGCAGACCAGCTTCCGGCAGCACTACCATCTCCGCGTGCACCATTTCAACTGTTATCTCAGACTCGGTACAGCAATTTGTGTTTTGTGTCTTGGATATTTTTCATCAAACTCCTCCCAAGATGTCTACCAAGAGGAAATTGTCTTTGTCTACACCTCAGCCTGCCAAGAAGGAAAGAAAGGCCATCGATCTCGACACGAAAATGAAGGTAAAATTAAGCAGTACGAAGGAGGAAAGAAAGTGAATGTGATCGCACGTGATACGAAGTTATCACACTCGACTGTGTCGACGATTTTGAAAGATAAAGAAAGAATTCGTGAAGCTGTGAAAGGTTCTGTACCCATGCGATCAACAGTTATAACAAAGCAACGAAGCGGGCCCATCCACGAAATGGAGAAATCGCTATATATTTGGATGGAAGATCAAATTCAAAAATGGCCAATAAAATGTTTCGTACATGTTTATATATTTTGATATGTTTTGCAATTGGGAAAATGTTTCCTATGGTATTTTTTTACACCTGTATTTTGTATTTTTGTATGCACCTGTATTTTGTAATTTTGTATGTTTTGCAAATATTAAACCAGTTGTACTGGTAATGCAGTGTTTTACTTAAACCTCACCAATGTAAAAATAAGAAACAAAATGGTGTAGAGATGATGCAAGTGGCATAAAATGAACAAAGAAAAATTATGATATATAACAATAATGAAAGAAAATTATGATAAAATATGACAAAGATTTTTATAACATCATTTCACAGTACTGTACATATAGCCTACTCAACTTACGACCAAATCGTGTTACGACCGGTTTGTTGGCACCAATCGTGGTCGTAAGTCGAGCACTAGCTGTAGATAATGAGAAAAATGTAGTAATTAGGAAAATTGAACAACAGTCAGAACAATACTGGGATCTCTGAGAAGGAGTAAACAAATGAGTTGATCCCTACACCTTTCTAAGCATGCTATCTATAGGCAGTTTCTAAGCTGCAGAACAGGGAAAGGGAACCTAATACAAAAGTCTCAAAATTGGAGTTGGATATTGGGAGTCAGGCAGGCTGAGGAGGCTAGATTTTCAGAGCAGATTGCTGGGGAAAAGAACAATGTTAAAAATGTAACATAGCAAGAACCTCAGAGATCTGCACAGGGAATCCTTCTAATCTTTAACTGAGTGGATATGTGTATGCATAAAATAAGACTTCGCAAAGACGGTGTAAATCTCCCTCCAGACTGGAAAAGGATTACTGAAAAGCAGCGAGCCATTTTCCTGGACTTCATTCAGAGGTGGAAACAGTTTGTGTTCCCACCAGCCAAAGTGGAGCGACTACCAGGGCATTGGGTAGATTTCCTAGAATGGTCAGACCTTAGAAGCAGGGCTAAATTAGCCCTGGCATAAATTATCCCTAGCCCTGCTATAACAAAAGCAAATCTAGAATGGATCGAAATGAACTCAAATAACTTAATTGCTTGCCAGTTTGAAAAAAAAAAAAACTGTCAGAGAAAAGGTCCAACATTTAAAAAATGAATTTAATAAAATAAAGCCTCAACAGCGTATCTGCCATCCAACAAAGATTTCTCAAGCATACAAAGAAATAGGAAAACATGACTCATATCCAGGAGTAAAAGCAATTAATAGAAACAGATAAATGACTGAGATGATGGAATTAGCAGATAATGATCTGAAAAGAGCTATTATACATTTTATATGTGTGCTCAAATAGGTGTAAAAAAATGATGAGAAGAGAAATGGATAATGTAAACAGACCCAAATGGAAGTTTTAGAGATGAAAAACACAAAATCTGAAATAAAAAATACACAGGATGAATAAACAGTAGATTAGACAGAGAGGAAAAAAACACTAGGGAACTTGAGGGCATAGCAATAGAAACTATTCTAAATGAAGACAGAAAAAAAATGATTACAGAAAAACATAAACAGAACTTCAGTGACTTATGGGACAATATTGAGCAAATATACATGTAATTGGAATATCAGGAAAAGGAAAAAGGTACAGAAAAAAATGGAAAAAATAATGACTGAAATTGTTCCAATTCAAATAACTATAAATCTGCAGATTCAAGAAGTTCAACAAACCCCAAGCTGAATAAACATAATGAAATGGCCTTGCTGAGAAGCCTGTGTGGATAAACTCACACTTATCCTCCATTCCTGCTACCACAGCCTCTTTATTTGTTCGAGCAAGCACTGGGATAGCTGGGGAAAAGGCTGACAGAAGTCTTGCTCAACTGCTTCCCAAAAGCCTCTTTAGAAGTGGGTGCCTTTGGTGAACATTCACAAGGGAGCCCAGTATGCACACTTTGCCCATTCCAAGTGGTTCACTCACATCATTTCCCTAGTCCTCAACACCAACCCTCCAATATCATTCCTTCCAAATCTCTGAACATCAGCTGCATTGCCAGCTGCTAGCTCTGTACAAGCCACTGAAGGAGGCGCTTTGGATCTTCTTGGGGGCCGTGGTTAGGAAGTAAGTGACTAGGCTGCATAAGATGAATCTACTCCCATATTCCTGACTCCCTAAGTATTTTTGATTTCTTCATCTGCATTACTTGGCATTACATTTTCATTTAGTGTGAACTGCTACTGAGCTCAGACTATAGTAAACCAAGTGAGCAAACTGGCTTAGTGCTCCCACTGCTGGAGGTAGCACATCAACTTTCAACTTTCCTCATGTCATCTTTAGAGTCACTGCCACGCATATTTCCTTGGTTTCTGTGCCTCTTTTGTTGCATAAAGCATCTTCCGTTGATCAGATCTTGTCCATATCCCCTTGGGGCACATTAGCATCTGATTCTAGTTTTGGGAGTGAAGACACAGGTAGAGATAGGGAATGTGGAGAATTGGCACCTCCTTGCAGGGTGACTGTTTCATGCTCTTCAATGTAGGCTGTACCAGCCTTATTGGACAATTGTGGAAAGCCTGTGGAGAAACAGAATTCAGGAGGGCAGTGGCACTTGGATTCGTTCCAATCCACCGAAATTCCCAGGCTTTCATTTTTTCACAATTGATGCCTTCAATCTTCACATAAGAGACCTGATGAGGCTGCAAACTAAATTTATATTGTAATTCTAGGCTGGGCGCAGTGGATCACATCTGTAATCCCAGCACTTTGGAAGGCTGAGGCAGGCAGATCACTTGAGGTCAGGAGTTCCAGGCCAGCCTGGCCAACCTGGTGAAAACACATCTCTACTAAAAATAAAAATAAAAATAAAAAAATAGCTGGGTGTGGTGGCACATGCCTGTAATCCCAGCTACTCAGGAGGCTCAGGCAGGAAAATTGCTTGAGTCTGGGAGACAGAGGTTATAGTGAGCTGAGACTGTGCCACTGCACTCCAGCCTGGGAGACACAGTGAGACTCCATCTCAAAAAAATTATATTGTAATTCTGGTATCTGCAGCACTAAGCTTTGCGCCTGGGGAGGCCAGGTGGAAGGGAATTGGGTTTCTTAGGGAGCCCAGTATGCTCACACTCTGCCCATTTCAAGAGATTCACCCATGTCAAATACAGTACATTCTAAGTTTCTCTTCAGAGAAATATACATATGTCAGTATGTCCAGTTTCTTTGTACTTTGTTCTCTTATTCTCCACTTTAAAATTTAACTTCCTCATCTCCTTGCCCCTAGTTTCAGTAAACAACCTTCCAACCAGTTCTAATCA